TGATTTGATTGGACCATATCTAGTTTCTGGTTGTTCTAATTTTGACAAGGAATACCAGAAGGCTTACCAGACTTATGGACGTGGAATTTATGCTGTAAAAATAGCCAGTAAAGCCTGATAAAAGGCAATGTTTGTTTACATTAGTTGAGTGAAAGCCATGAATATTCCAAACTGATACTTTGAATGGTGGTCTGCAGTTAGTCAGTCATTTTAGCTGAGGCACATCCGCAGCATAGTAGATAAAAGGTGGGACAGTGCCTGGTACTAATCCATATGTAGAAATGTGCTTTTTATTGTATGTGTTTAATGATTTTGTACGTAACTAAAGATGCTATAGAGTGGATGTGCAGTTTAAAAAGGTGCTCCAAACCACAATGCATGCTGAAAAGTCCTCCCAGTGCCTGAACAGGATGAAATGGAATCAATGTTAAACGATGACAAACGGCAGCCTGCTTCAGTCATCAGTTAAATTCAAGAGTCAATATTTACTCTGATAGATAGAAATCATCTATGTATCTTTACTGACAATTAAGCTTTTAAGCCATTATTGTTTGCCTTCTTACGTAAATATCCCGATGGGCAATTATCTTTACAAAGAAGGGGCTCCAGTGAGACAGTGTGTTCTTTGTGATGTAAGAGATAAGGCTTCTATGTGGATAGAATTTCACCACAGTTTTCATTCATGCAGAACCTTTTATAAGGCGCCAGTGTTTGTTTTCCTACCCGAGTTCAGCAGGTTTAATGAGAGGGACCATTATGACGCTATGATTACTGTGCAGATTAGACCACTCGCACATAAATTAGAATTACAAGATCAACAATGAAATAATGATGAAGTTATCTCTGTAGTTGCTGCACTCAGACGCCATTTGACCATGTTTTACCTGTAATTGATTCTACAGCGTCCGCCCAGCCGCACTCATGTTGTGGGGATGCTGGTGGAGGGAACTTGGATCGACAGTAATGAATACTCTTACGACCGTAGAAGCCACCGTCTATCATCAACACCTGACCCGAACCACACTGCAGAGTGGTGTTACGACCCTCACACACAATGGTTCTCCCAGACTCTGAAAAGATTACAAGGCAGTGTAAAAAGTAATTCTTCGTATGGAGTGATTCAGTGTGCAACACAGTCTTCGTCAGAATACTTACCAAACTGGCAAATAAAACGCCGGTTTTTGCTGCAGTTGTTTCTGGCCTCCCAGTGAAAGCCCGAGTTTCTCAGGACGTAGCCACAAGCTGCTCCAGGCTCTGGACTGCTCACCCACTTTGAATATGTGGCAGGTGAACCATCGAGCCAAGAGAGATGACCTGATGATGCAAAAAAGCCAAAAAGCCCACTGATGAACATACACGCATCAATAATGCATCTAGAGCAGAGCTCATTCAGTTTCTGTTACCATTTGGAGCTTACAAAAAGTTGCTAACCTGGTGGGTGTAAGTTGTTTTTTTTTAAGTGTACTTTATATTTTTACTTTGTGCAGAATTCTCAATCAGTGTGTTATATGAAGCCATTTCTCTCTATGCTGTGAAAATCTCAGTGGGAACAAATTTACCATAATTTGTCAGACTGCTGATTTCCTAGCTCTTTGTATTGTGCCGTGATTAATCTAAGCATTCTCCACCATCCGAGATACAGAATTGATTTTCTGATTGATTTTCTAACCACAGGAGAAGAGAACATTATCAGTGCAGTAAGAAAAAGGCGTCTTTGGTCGTTTAGTTTTGGAACTGATGCACAGTTTGTCCATGCAAACGTTTTGTTGTTAATGTTTGATTTAAAGTCATCAGTTAGAGGTCTGCTGGGAAATATACACTAACAATAAAAACAAGTGTGACTTCTTACCTTCAGCAGATGGTGCCACACCAAACCAAAAGTCTTCCTTAGTGTCCATGTGTCTCTCAAGGAAGTACTGGGTGTCCTCGTCAGGGATAAAAGCAAGGTGTCCTCCATTCCCCTCACACCAAGCTTGAGCACTGAAGAAAGAGCGCCGGATACCCACAAATTCAAAGCAAGAGCCCCCGAAAGCCCTTTGGTGTTCTGGACAGGTGACATTTGTCTCATTTTCAGCCAAAGAGTGACAGCTGAGTGTCATCAAGATCAGCAGGTGCAAAATTGCCTGGCACATCCGTTCTGCTCTCACCTCCGAAATCAAAAGTAAGTCTCACCAGTTCTCTTTTATCTTTTCTTGGAGGTTTCAGGTCGGAACTGACTTTTTTATACACAACCGAGTGACATCCTACAGCTGAGCATGTCTGACAGAAGCACCGCTCACACACCCTTTTGTAGTTACTGTAGAACACTGTTGACGTACTATCCTAGCTTCAGAACCAACGAATGCATTTGCGTTTGTTACATAAACAGGAACAAAAGGGAATATGAAACTGATTACACAGTACTTACAAAAGAAATGGAAGCCTAGTAAGTCTGAAGGTTTACACAACGAGTCATCGCTATGTTAAAGAAAAACAAACAATTAACAATTAAATTATGTTTTACTTTATTTTTTTAGTTAAATAGTTTCTTTTCACCCACTGATGAAACTTTTTTTAAAGTACACTCTGCAGTAGTTACAACTGATATAAGAAAGTGTTTTTCACTTAGATAACTATAATAGAGATAATTATTATCCTGCTGCACATTTCATCCCAAATCTGTCCTAAAACCATTCAGCTCATAGTTCTTCGTCCACTTTCTAGTCTTTATCCACTCTATGTTGTCACACTTTTTCAGCAAATGGCTCTAAAAACCATGTTACAGTATGTTCTGTAGTTGCATGTTCTGAAGCATTTAGCAGCTACAGACTTCTACAGACTCTATCTATCTATCTATCTATCTATCTATCTATCTATCTATCTATCTATCTATCTATCTATCTATCTATCTATCTCTCTCTCTATCTCTATCTCTCTCTATCTCTATCTCTATCTCTCTCTCTATCTCTATCTCTCTATCTCTATCTCTCTCTCCCTGAATCCTGGGATGGGTATCAATGCCCTTTACTAAAACTGTTTCTGGGTAGGTTTTTCTGTGTGATGGTGCACATCATCTTTCTAACTATCACTGGGGAGTGCTGTTATTGTGGCTGGTGACACATGAACACCATGACCCAAGGTTTTCCTTAAATCAGTTTTACGTGGTTTACCTTCCACTGGTTTGAGTATTGTGGCTGATCAATGTTACCTTTTAAAGAGCAATAAAGACCTTCAGCTGTGATAAAGCGAGAATTGTTTCTGAAAAGATGCACTAATATTTTATATTAAACTGAGGCTTACTTTAGAGTAGCTCCCAAGGATGTTACTCATTCCCATAAGAAGAGCTGAATGTACAGTAAGGTTAGATCTTTCTTTCTTTCTTGTTGAAAAAGAAGGATCGATCATCTTCTTCTTACCGCACATTTTATATTGGAATTTGTTTTATTCAGGAAGATAGTGTTGAAAGTAAAACTGCAATTTATAAAGAAGGTCGGGTACAATAAATATCTCCTTTCTATTTAAGCTGTTGCATCTGCCTTTTTTTTTTAAACGTTCTTATGAGTCACTTTTATGTATTACTTGGGATGCTGCACAAACATCTTTCCTCACAATTAATTTTCTCTCCACAGTTGCACCTATGGCGAGTCTTCCTCACCCCCTTTCTTTCACCTCGTTTCTGTTCATCTTTCATTGTGAATCTGTGTTACTGCCCTAGCATGTGTCCTTCTGGCTTTTCATTACAAATGCGTGACTGAACCATTACAAAAGGCTTATTTGTAGTGATTCACTACTGCGAGCTAAAAATCCGTGTTTACATCCTGGTCATGTGTGAGCAGTAGTCATGGGCACCTGCAGCCACTGTGCTTTGTAAAAGGCTTTTAGCCACTCAGAACAACAAAAGAGCGGCTTTGTTTTCAGAATGAATGAGATCCTGCGACTCTGCTGCAGTGATTCGATCTGTAGAGCTTGGTTCTGCCACGAGTCAGAGATACCTGAACGTCTTCTGTGTAGGTTGTTTTATTGTTTTATCATTCACCCAATTATTGCAATCATCTTCTAAGAACACAAACAGAAAACATGGAAACACAATGAGTCATTAGCAAGTTTCCTACCAAATTATGGCAGGTAAATTCAACCTGGTAAACCTGGTTCTGAAGTTTATTTTGGACTTTTGAACACACCAAAGCAAGCTAATGCAACCAGCTGCCAGGGTCTAAAGTTGAAATTCAAATATTGAGACAAACCAGCAGTTTCTTGTATACAACATGGGAAGTAGCAGCTGCAGTTTTTTACCTTTCATGACCTTTCATAATCATTTTTTATGTTTAATTAAATATAGAGACCTCCTGTCTCCATATAAATAGAAAATAAATAAATAAAAACAATAATAGAACTAATCAGGCCAAGTTTTTCTCAAAAAACTAGGAAAAATTAAATGTAAAATGTATTCCAAACAAAAAACTCGATCAGGAGGTTAAAAAATTAGCTTTTTAAATGTCAAAACTTCTGTCTTCCCCCGCGTTGCTGTTCTTTTTGTAGCTCAACGCCTAATGCTCAATACTGCCTGGCCATTAAGAATGCAGGCCGTGTTCAATAACAGATGGATGTGGATGTTCTTGAACCTGTAGACTAAGAAATGGAAATGAAACACTTTAGTAAAAATGGGCACAAGAAAGAATAAATAAAGATTTTTCCAATTCTGCCAGGAACAAAGCCATTTCACCCGAAAGCTGATGACATAAGTCCGTGTGTGGAGGTAAGCAGGTTTATTCCATGAGCTGAAATGTCGTGTCGTGCCCTTCACATTTCATGTCTTCAGTTCAGCCTTTTAAAAAAAACTGCAAAAGGACGACTGGGTGTTAAAAACACTAGACGTTTTAGAAGAAGCCTACATCACAAAAATGATAGATTTGATGTTATTATTTTTTAAATAGAGAAATAAAATATTTTGAGAAATGATTTCAGTTGTAATTCTTTTTTTTTAACTTGGCCTTTTCTTCCGATGTGTTTTTGTCTCTCTATTTTGCCGTCTGCTGTTTGCTTGATTCTGTTGACTTTTGTGCCTGTTTAAGGTTACTTCCTGTTATATTTTTTAATGCACATTTCTGCGTTTTAACCTTCCTCCTTTGTTTTTTTTCCCAGCCTTGCTTTTATCTTAATTGACCTGTTTCCTATTATCTTTATAAGTGCTTATGTATCTGTCTGCCACCTGCACCCAAATACTTCCTCTTATTATCTTCTGGCTTCTCTACTTTATTTTTTCCCCTTGTTTATCTAAATGGACTTTTGTATTGCACTTTTTTTTTTAAATGAATTGTTTTGGAATTGAATGTTTTGCCTTTTTAAGTTGTGAATTTATGTTAACTAAGTCCATTATTTTTCAGTGATTCCAAACACACTGCCAGTGCAACAAAACCAAAAGCCTACCAGGATCGAAAAGCATGCAATGGAGCACTGCCAGTCATGGATTGGAGTCCCCAGATCCTGGACATCAACATTACTGAAGCAGTGTGGAATCATCTTGACAGAGATAAGATAAAAAGGAAACCAACATTCAAATAAGAGCCACGAATGTTTTCAAGGAACTTTTCAAGAAACTATTCTTGAAGATTACTTAAAGAAATGACAAGAATCCTTGTCTGAGACAGTTCTTACTTTATTGAGGACTAAAGATAGGCTGCTGACCTTTATCCACATTAGAATTATACAAACGGTGTTTATGCCTAATGTCGTCTACTGTCATGCATGTTTTCACATATTTAAAAAAAAAAATCAGTGCAACTTTTTTCCTATTTTCTGTCACAAAATTTGAGAAAATTTCTATTCTAGGTATTAGTTATTGTTTCTATCATATCTGCTCCCTCTTCAGCATGTTTTGAGCATCTTTAAGGAAAACTGCCATCACTGCCATTCAGTTGACATTCGGTATATCTCTTTTAAACCCACAGATGTTTCTAAGCTGCAGTCCTGAAAAGGAGTTTAGACACTGTTAAAAGCTGGATAGTTGACAACTTTCTCCAACTTAATGAAAAAATGTTATAAAAAGGAAGGTCCTGGTTTGAGCCCCTGACAGAGTTATGGTCCCCCTGTAACAACTGCTAAATTGTCTCTCAGGCGCCTTGGGGTAATTTTAAATCTGCTTTCACTCTGGATGTTCGGGTCAAATCTCAGCTTCACTCTTGTTCACTTAAAACATTTTTCCAAATTAAGTACCATAGTGTCACGCTCTGAACTGGAGATTATTATTCATGTATTTATTTAATCATGTTTGCATTAGTGTAACTCACTGTTCACTTGTCTAAGAAAAACTGCCTAGAACATCTGCAAAGCTCTTCATGGACAAGCACCAGCTTACATCAGTGGACTGCCATATGTCCCGAGCAGGTCTGCGAGGTGATCAGGCTGTTAGTATATGTGATCAGAGCCGACTTGTTGTACATCATACAAGCCTGAAAACTAAAGGTGACAGAGCTTTTGTCACAGTGGCCTCCAAACTCTGGAACTCTCTCCCTCTGAGCTTGAGATCTGTGGACTCAGTAGTTTCTTTCAAGAAACTTCTAAAAACTCAACTTTGTAGACTTGCATTCAGTCAGCTCTTTTTTCTGTTTTTATGCTCTGGTATTTTGTTGTGAAGCACTTTGGGATCTTTGTCTTGAAAGGAGCTATAAATAAGACGTTACTTTAATCGCTTATAGGTCTGATTGTTGGGGTTTTCTCTGCATTATTATCAGCTCTTTTCCTTGCAATATAAAGTGCTTCTAAGTGACTGTTGCAATTTTGTGCTACACAAATAGAATAGAAAGCAGATGTTTTTGCACCTCTGGAGCAGTCGGGTGTGCGTGAACACAATGCCAAGGAGGAAAACCATCAGCAGTGATCTTAGAGAAGTAATTGTTGTTGCCCATCTATCAGGAATGGGCTAATCAGACCATTTTCAAACTATTTAAAGTTTATCACTCTACAGTGAGACAGTATTCACAACTAGAAAACATTCAAGACACCTGCCAACCTTCCCAGGAGTGGACATCACAACAAATACACCTCAAGGTCAGACTGTGCAATGATCAGTAAGACTAATTAGCATGGTAGATAAAATGATAGATAAAATTCATAACAGTAC